ACATGCAAATTGTTCCCTCACAATTGCCCTAAGGCAGCAGTCTCAGCCTTTCTAAGCCTGATTCCTTCTACATCATTACAGGCTTGGCATAATTCATCAGAATAAAAAATACCTCAACCTTATTGCATGTGGCCAGCTAGTAAAATCATCGGGAGTTGTTAACCACTCTCCCTCGATGGGTTTGTTAGCGACGCTGTCCCCAGCTCCCTGCCACTCCTGCACTTGTACATGTTTCCCTTGGGTAATGTTAGACACTACATTTGAGCCTGCCAGAACAATTAACCCTACTGTTAATTAGAATGAAATGTCAGGCGCACAGATGGTACAAGCTGGCACCCTGCCATCCCGCCAACTGCTGCTGAGAGCAGCTACCCCACTGCTGACAGCTGCTTAGCCATGTCCCAAACCAGCAGATGTCAAAACTTTCCAGCTGAGGAAGGTTAAAAAAAGCAAAGAGGAGGGGATTCTCATCCCAGCAGTGATGATGACTGTTTTACTGCTATTGTGTCTATTACCTGTTGTCACACTGTACCAATCAAGAGGAAGTCGGCAAGCAGTGAGACACAAATTTGAAATAATGATACTAATAATCATAACATAAATAAACACAATATGGCTATAATTCAATGTATGTATGAAAGTGGCACAGGCAAGAAAGTCACTGAACTTTCCACTAAGGTCTCCTTAAGTTGAACGGCATGTTTTAACACATGTTTTCAAAGAGAAAAAAATCTTTCAACAATCTCAAATTGAGTACTTTAAAAGGCCACCAAATAGTGCCTATGTAATTTTCAGGCAAAATTTCACTTTGTTTTCGGAATGCCTACGTAGGGGTGAAATTATTACTTTGTTTTCCGGTATCTTTTCTGTTAATAATTTATTAACATAATTCATGAGATGATAAATTATGTTTCCTTTTATCCTCAATTCACAGGTTATTGCCAAAAATAGATAACAGAACATTATCCATGAAAAATATCAGAAATTAAAATACAACCTAATTAGGCAATGAAATCACAACTGGATACCATTTTGATTAGAAGACAGCTTCAGAATACTGACCTAAATATCATGTTAATTTTGCGCTCTAAAAAAAAAAAATTAGTGATGCTATTAGTTGGAAATTTAAGTTAGTTCTAAACTGAAGAGGCCTGGATCATAAACCTCCAATACTTATTTTGACTTTAGGAAACAACAATTTTGTGTCTGATTGTTATTAAACATGGGAAGTGTGGAAGTGTGAAAGTAATTTCCTTTCAATTATGCTACTTTGAGTCATTCTCTTTAACAGCGTGAATGCAGGTGGATATTATAATTTAAATGCCACAGGAAATATGCCATAAAAGTTAAAGTTCATGTTCCTGCTATTTCTACTTCAGTCAGCCATCATTTATTGATAAATTATTCATTCAGCATTACGTAAGTACACCTACATACAAAAGAAAACAATGCAAGAGGCTTTTGACTATTCAAAAAGAGTTAAAAATTACTCTCATGCCGACCATTCTCTCTAATTAGGTAAAAATAATCATCATAATACTTACAGATACATGGTCCTAGTATTAGTTAGGGGTTTTGTGTCATGTATAACTGAAATTAACATATACCAAGAAGAGATTTATCAGAAAGGAATGAAATGGTTCCCAGTACATTAAAAGGATTTTCAGAAAGCTGAAGAACTGACTTAGAAAGTACACAGAAAATTCAAGGAACTAGGAGGCAGGAACAATGATATATCTAAGACGCTAAGATGAATTAGTTAAAATCATTTCTTCTAAGAATTTAAACTTCTATTGGCCTACTTTGGTTCACACAACCAAGCCAGGTATATGCAGTGCTACTTACTAATTCCAACAACAGTGAAACAAATGTTTAGGTTGTTACTATCATGAAAAGGGCAAGTGGGTTCTAGGGGTCCAACACAATAGTGACAAAGATGACCAACACCCTGTGAAGTCAGTTTTAACAAATTCCATAAAAGGATTTTATGCAAACGTCATTAAAACTATAGAGATCAGTATAAGCAAGGCTATGAGTAGGTATTCCAAATATGAAGCTGAGAATAAATATGATTTTGCATGTGGTGAATAAAAGACTGGCTGATTTGAGCATTGAACATCATTGTAGAATAAGCCAATAATAATGATGACAGTGATAACTCACTGCTATTACTTCTACAAATTTCTTCTGGTAAGTACTACATCTTTACAGCATTTTACAGTTTATAAAATACTTTCTCAACTACATTCTTCTTTAAGTCTTACAATAATCCTAGGAAATATATTCACTGACCTTTATATATAAAGGATCAGGTGGCCTGTTATATTATAGATACATTAGAGTCCATGCATGAAAAGACTTTGTTACTAACACACATGAAGAATTTGATATTTGTCAGAGGTTTTTGGAAAACTAGAATTCTTTCTTCAGCTGGTAATGTGTATCAACAACAATAAATGAAATATTTTAAATACCATTCCCTATTTCATTATTTCATTCCAAAAAACCCACTATCCGAGCAACTACCAAATCTCAGTCCTAAATCTAGATACCAGAAGTAGTGAGAAAAATGAGAGAAGCCTTGCCCTCAAGAAACTTGGGATCTACTATGGAGATACAATCATGTACACAAGTGTGGAAATGTTCATAACTGTCAGAACAGAGATGGGATGAAGTATCATGTGGACACAAAAAGGTAATAGTCAGGCCCTACATGAGGGCCATCAAGAAAACCTCTTGAATGTGACAGGAGTATTGATATACTTGAAAATCAGTCTGTCTCAAAAATTGACAAAATATTACTTAGTATACAAAAGAGAACAAGAAAGATATTTAAGAATTAAAATAAATATAAAAAACTCAGCAAAAATAAACCTGCTCCTAAAACTCACAAACCATACATTTAACAAAATAACAAAATGTTTGTGGTTTGAATCCTTTTCATAAAATATCTCTTTGAAAGTAACATATTAAAATTAAGATGCTACTAAATTCAGTGTAGATGTTCAACTGGAATATGTCTTAATTCCAATTACATTTTGAGTTTAGAATGATATGTTAAAGATCCATAATATATATTAAAAATTTTCCTTGATTCCATAGAACTTCCAACGCTGAAAAGTGAGATATATATTAAGTTGAAATTATAGGTATGGCCAAAATCCTTTTGAAATTTTTGTTGGACAAAAAGTAAAAACAACACTTGCCCATTCAAAATTAAAGTATATGTAGGTGTATATAAAAGTGTATAATTTTACCTTCTCTATTGAATATTGAGTAAAGTTAATCATATTCTTTCTCTCTCTCCCTCTTTCTCTCTTTATATATATATATAATGTATGAACATATATACATGTATAAACAAAGATACATATCTGATTTTCTAGAAAAATGTATAACTGCTTTATGTCATTGACTTAAAATACTTAATGTTACTTTGAGCATAGAATTCACTAGATATTAGAAGGTTGAGCGTTTTGAAACTCATAAATATATAGCAAATTCCAGGCATATCATTCAACTTCAATCTGAAATAAGATAAAATATATTTTTTTGGGAACTCCTATTTTGGTTTCCATTATTCAATGTTCTTTTACAGAAAATGGTTTATTCTTACTATCAATACTCACTGGTACACAGATTATAATTTTCAACTTTTATCCTCCATATTCTACCAATATAAAATACGTATTTTGTTAAGGTTTAAATAAGCAAATGAAATTTATTAGCTGCAAGAATTAATAATGAAATCTTAGGTTTTTATAGTGTTTTGGAATTTACACATTGCTTTTGCATATAGCATTTTATGTCATCCCTATCCGGCCACAGCATGGAAGATGCTATCATCTCACTTTTCAGTGAGCTGCTCTGGGTCACAAGGCATATAATTAACAGAGCCAGGACCAACCCAAGGTCACAACCCAAGTACAGTGCTCATTCCAATTTAACATCTACTTGTAGTCTGCCTCTGGCCCACCACATGGCAAGGAATGGAGGCAAAAGTCCACCAGCATATAGTGACAGTATTACTGCTGTTTTGTTAATTAAGCCTATTTTCATTACTGGAATTGAATGACAGAGACAGGCCCTGAAGCAAAACACCCAGCCATCTATTTTTCTCAGTAACCACAATTAAAAGTCAAAGACCTCTGGACAGCCTGGAAAAAAACAAACCAGGGACATTTAGTAAACAGTTGTGAAAAAAATCATAGTACAGACATTAAATAGTTAAACAGAAATAATGTAGCTTCTGTTCCTTAAAGATTTAATGGTCCAAAGACGTGATAAATTCTCTATCAGAATAAATACACTTAGATTGAAAGGTATGCCTACTTAGAAAAATTTTAAAAAGTACTGTCAGATGAATTAAAGATTGTAATCTCTCTTCTCCAGCCTAGGAATCTATTGAGAGACATGAGTAGGGCAAGAGACAGACAGATACAGAGAGAGAGAAACAGATAAGACACACGGGGACAGCAAGAGAGACAATTTAGGGAAGTCGTGGGGGTTATTAACTAGCATAAGAAACTCAGAGTGCGGTCAGAACTAATGTTCTGACTGTAAGAAGAAAGACTCTAGGCTGATCTTGTGTACATGGCAATCTCTCTACCCAAAACATTATTCCCCCCAAATACCCAAATATCATTTCTATTTTATTTCATGAATATATTGTTTCAATATATCACATTGCTTTAATTCCATTAGAGGATTATTCTCTTTAAAAATATGATGGTTTTTAAAAATATGAATGTCTCCATAAGAGTTAAAATACTGTTATTGGAATCATAAAACAATATAACTAAGAAAAAAATAAACCCTCAGCTATTGCTTATTTCAAAACCCTCCATTTTAAACATGTTGCTGAGATTTTGAAAGTTGAAGCTATTTACTTAAAATCATAAAACCCAACAAAACAATGTCACAACTGAATCCTCAAAGTCTTCTCCTAAGGCTTCATGTAAAGGTAACAATGACAATAATAAACATTTTTGAGTGCTCACCTTGAGCTGCCAGTGCTCTGAGCTAATTCCACATACCATAACATTAAATAGTACAAGTTTTTCCCTCCTGTGTTGAGCAGAGGAGCAAGTAGTCTTCAGATTCTGTTTCTGGAAATGAAAAGCAAAACAACAGAATGGAATGGTCCCAGTTTCAATGAGAGGAGATCTATGCTTGTCTGTGTTATATATTGAGATCTTGTCTAAGATTTAAAAGCACTCCTTACAAGCCTCCTTTTAACATATCTGTTGATACCATTTATCCCTACCCACCACCAACAACAAAATCTAGTGAATTGTACCTTTCTTATGCGATAAAATATTATTGGGATCCACGGCTTGAAATCAGTGTTCCATAAGATTCTCATTATGTTAGAAGTTCTCAACAACCTTATACTATTACTTACATATACACGTCATTTAAAAAAAATTACTTAGAGTCTTCATTGAATATCAATTTATGAAATTCACAATTATTCCAAGTATTCAAAACCAATAAGAATAATTTATAATTCATATCTGTGGTACTTTAGACTGCTGCCACCATCTTTCCAGTTAGTCTGGATTATAATAACTCACCTTATTTTAGAATAGGCAGATTGTCATGCTTTTCATTCTCTCTAGCATGGTCACTTCCCATCCCAGCCTGACAAAATTCTTTCTAGCCATCAAAGTTCAGTTTGAATGAACTGAACTTACAAAGCCTTCCCAAATTATCCTGCCAGAAGTCATTGGCCCCTCTTTGGATTTTACTAGCAATTTACATGAGACTCTCAAAAAATTATTATGTATGATTTTAGATTAAAACTACTTATTCTTCTTCCTAGACAAGAAATAGCTTTGGACTGGGAGTCCTATATTCTTTATCAGAGATCCAAGATAGTAGTTTGCATAAAGTCTCAATAAATATGTTTGTTTTTGAATGAATGAACGAATGAATGAATGAATGATAAGTGGAAGCCATGGGAAATGCAAAGTAGAAAGAAATAAGAGACAGGTTCTGAATGGGCTGGAGAAAATCCCTTGAGAGTCTCTTTTCCATTGCCTCACAGGAAAATCACTAAAGATTATCCCCAAAGTGAAAGTTTCACATTAAATGTCTACCTATATTTAGATCATCAGAAGACATAGGTAAAACAAACCTAGCAGGAATGTCTTTAAAGAAAGTATCCAAAGTTGTTACATACCGGTTCTATTTACTGGCAATAGCTATAAACCTTGATATCAAGTAAGAGGAAAAAAAGTGAGTAACCATTGATCTGGCATAGAATGAATAAGCCCAAACTTCCACATTTCAATTCAGCTTCCTTGTGTATCTTCAGCTTCTATCAGCTCTCAAAACAAACAAACAAACAAACAAACAAACATGCAACACATGTGCTAGGCTTTGAGGAGAAAATTTGTCAATCTGATCTAAAAAAAATTGCACATACCTTTTGACTAATGCTTCCATTAACATAATCTAAAATTTACTCAAATTTAGAAGTAGCAAATAAACTTATATATATTTAAAAGAAAATTAAAGAAACAGGTTGCTTTCCATGAGCAAGGCACTGTGTTAGGCCTACTTAAAGAAGATTCAGAGATATGGTCCTATCCCTTATGGAGTTTACAGTCCAGAAATTCTATCATCATTAATCAGTCCACCCTAAATTAAAAGTTTGGTAAATAAAGAAGAAAGAAGGAGCATTTGGGTGAGCATTCAAGTGAGGGACATATTACAGTTTCTAGAAGCAGGAAAGAATTCCTCAAAGAAGTGACATAGAAGCTTAATTCTGAAGAATTTATCTATAAGTTTCCTAAAGTTATCATTTATAATTTCTATAGATTTCTGAATGAATAATAGATGATTTAAGGTTGTAGAGCTACACATTGATTTTTATTTAACCTCTGCTTTAGAACGTGTTTCCTTCACTCTAACAGAAAATAAATCAATTGTTGAAAAACATATATCAAACTAAATACATATATTTTCATTAGATTGTAGACTAATGACCTGATTGGGATGCTTGTATTTTTACAATGTTGTTTATGAACAAGTACAGAGTAATCGTACTGGCATTTAAACTAAATAATTTTGCTGAGATGTTCTGATATATTAAGAGGAGGTTTAAGGTGCCACATAACTACATGTGTAAGTACACCCTTATTGCTGACCTTACAATGCACTTGGTATCTTATACTTCACTAATGCTGTCTGTACTACCACAAGCAATTTATTCTGCCTCATGTTCCTCAAGTGCTCATAAATCAGCATTAGATCCTTTTTACTGAGTTGCTGATTTTAAGCCAGCAGAGTAAGAAAGAGCATTTGGATTCAAAGTATAATATTGGCACACATATTGATTTTAATTAGTCTAATTAGTTCATTACACTAAAAATCACACAGATCATTTATTACATCAAACCTAATGGCATATGATCAAGGATTTAATATGATAATGAAGTAGATCAATTATCACTCATAAAGGAAGCCATTAACAAGTGTAAACATTGTCAAGCTGAATACCGTTACAAATTATGAAGTCATAGCTAAAACAATTTGCATATACACATTAATATTATTTTATAGTCAACATTCTCTTCTAAAAGTGAATACATCTTTCCTTTTAAATTCACTTCCATCTATCTGCTATTACTATTTTAAGCTATGCAAAAGCTGGTTAGCATAGGTGGGGCTTCTATCTGGAGAGTTCTGATGGCAAAAATGTTGCAAAAATTAATATCATTGGCTGAAAAGAAAGACCATTTGCATCTCTATTCTTTCTTCATCTTGAAAACTAAGAATTTGTTCACTTTGGCAGTTAAATGGTCCTGGCTTATATAACAATAAGCAGACGACCAATGACAGTTCTTGAGATATTTGTGATACTTGAGATACCATGTAGGTTAATTGATGTGATTTTTTATCTTTAATTAAATAATAATAGCAATATATAATTACATTGGGCAAGGACCAAGATGTCTGCAAAAAGATTTGAGATTACAGCACTACATACTCATTTATTAATGCTTTCTGCAGCTTTAACATTACCAAGACATCTTAAATAAAAGCATCCAACTGTGCACCCTGTCCCTAACCCAATGCATCGCCATTTATCATTATTATCGCTATCATTACCCTTTGCTTAGGGTCCCTTCACTCTGTTTTAAATCCACTTGACAGTAGTGCACATTCAAGCCACTCAGAATTTATTTTTCTGGTGAGAACTTGTAAGGTAGTGTATAAAATATTTCCTTGATATCCAGATATAATATGATCTAATTGTCATTCCGCAAATGTTAAACTTCTCCCTAAAAATGCAGTCTACAGAAGACTATATCTCTTCGGAGAGCTCCCATACAAAATATGACTCCTGGTTGACAATGATAGATATACAATCTAAATTTGCATTATAAATGCTATAGCCACTAATAAATTGTGAAATAAAATATTTCCCAAAAATAGTACCTTATTCTGTTGTCTAAATGGCAAATCTGAAAACCACCCTTTATGATGTCATCACCTGTTTCAGCGCTTCACTGTGCATACCTCATAGGCTTGTTGAAGACTAAATGAATTTAAAAATTATAAATAAAACCCAGTGGGGTACCTGGGTGGCTCAGTCAGTTAAGATGCCTACTTCAGCTCAGATCATGATCTCAAGGTTAATGAGTTGAAGCCCCACATCAGGCTCTGTCCTGACAGTTCAGAGCCTGGAGCCTGCTTCAGATTCTGTCTCCCTCTCTCTCTGCCCTTTCCCCACATATTATCTCTCTCTCTCACTCTCTCTCTCTCTCAAAATTAAACAAAAAAAGAACTTGAAGTAGTGTCTGGCATGCACTAGTCACTCAGATGCTAACTAAAATTATTATGAGGTAATGATAATTTTTGTATGTCTAGATGTCTGACATTTTCCTAGTCAGGAAGCTTCCTAGAGCAGATCCTAGTGCAATAACCATACATGGCTCACCTTATGCTTTGCTTTCTGCACCCAGTAAGTACTATACCTCAGTGGTATGACTTCTTAATGGTATTCTCTTAGCATTGCACTCTAATGCCCCCTCCTTATTGCTATTATCTTCTAAAAACTAAAATGATTGTCTTTTCAACAGTTCCTCTTTATAAGGAGAGTAAAGTCAAGTTCACACTCCTTATCATGCCATGTCTCAACCCTGGAGTACCCCAACTCCCTACTCAAGGTATGTGTGCTGTGGCCACAAGGTTCTGTTATGTCCTAACAGTCATTGTTCCTGTAAGGCTCTGGGTTTTCCACATCCTTGGTTTGTTTCCTTATGGCTTCTCCTTTTCCTTCCCAATGAATCCTTAATGTTTCTTCAATATTTATCTTCTCCAAATGCATTGCATTCTTCATTATGAGTTGTAGAACTCTGGGCAAGTCCTTTGCTCTCTCTAAACTTTAACTTCTTCTGTGAAATGGATCAATAAGGACATTATGAGGTTATGTACCTAACATATTTAAAATCCGGCACATAATAGGCATTCAATTAATCGTAATTATTATTGTCATTACCAGTTATTATTCCATGAAAAAATGGAAGCCTGAATTTTCCATCCAAGATACAGTGGAGTATACTCAAAGCATTTGAGTCCCTGGGTAATAGGTCCCCAAGTCCTGAACAATGTGTTAACAGATAGGACCCTACTAATGAGCAACATGCCTACTAGTGAGCAACATGCCTACTAGTGAGCAACATGGGGGCAGTAGTTTAAAACTCTGTAGCTAAAAAATCTATAGATTGCCTTGAGAGAAGAAGCCAAACCAATAATAAAGAGGCAACTCCTGTGGAGAGGGGAACAATTCCAAAGGTTATCAGCCTATAAAAATACACTCCCAAAACATGTTTATAGGAAACATTCAAATATTGCAAAATACTATTATTTTATGAGTTAAGACTATCATGACATGTCACTGGTTTATGAAGCACAAGCAATGTACCTACAGATTAGTCTACTCTGCAAAAGTAAGAAGAAAAAAGAGCACCTCCACCTCCTTTTGTGATCTGTCAAGTAAGCGCTGTTCTTTCTCTGTCAAGATCATGAGCTCTGGTGAATTAGTCACAGGGTTCTTTGTTTTTAATTCAAATAAGCTGATTGTTTGCTTTTA